GGCCCTATTTTAATAAATTTAACAGTTTTTACTATATCTCATGATACCGTAAACGAAATTTAACAATTTTGATATCATTCGAATCGTCTCATTGAGACGCATTGAATGGTAACAAAATCGCCAAGTTTTAATTACTGGATTACGAGTTATTTAACATTTGCTAGAGTCTCTTTAAATAGTAATATCTTGTTATCCTGTCATTAAAATTTAGCGATTTTAGTACCATTCGATCCGTCTCGACGAGACGATTCGAATGGTATCTAAATCGCTAAATTTGTTTACTGTATCGTGAGATATAGTAAAATTTGTTAAAATAGGGCCCCTATATGTAATTATTTTACATTTTTGGGCCCTTATTTGTAAATTCCCCCAAAAAAATTGATGTAATTAATTTAAGTAATTCATCTAGAAACCTGGCTCAAAAGTTTAGAGGAAAAAAAATTTAAGCAAGTGAATATTGTTAATTATTTTAGTAAATAACCAATATCGATAATGAAAGTGATTAGATCTTTGCCAAAATAAAATTCGAACGAAAATTAAAGAGGTCTACCTATATGAAGTTTAATCAAAGATATCTTAACAAAGACTTATCTCAAGAACGGAAAATAATTTAACCGAATCCTACCATTATTACACAGTATTTTACAGCTATTACTGTATCATAGATCCTGTGATAACTGATGGCAAAAATTTTCAGTTTTTTCCTAAGATTTATGATAACAACTGTAATTAATTTTTAGTGTTTTACAATAAATCGAGGCTTACAAATTTATTACGTAAAGTGAATCGAATGATTTGCAAAGTTAAAATATTCTATTATTCTTGTATTAAGTAGTTAGATTGGAAAAGTTATCTTCTTTATCTCATTAAAATCTTTTTTTCATATAACTTTATCAGGTTTGTTAATAATAAAATTCTTTTTCTGATTATCTATAACCTTATCCTTATGGTACGACTATCAATCCATGTGCTTTACTTGCTTTTTTTTTTTTTTTGGAGTTAGTAAATCATACTAAAATTTTCATATATTTTCATATGATATTTAATCTATAAATATTATTTATTTTTATTGTTTTATTATATTATATATTTTAAAGGATTTAATATTGAAGGATTATAAAAATAAACATAAAAAAAATGATATAGAAATCATTAACTCTCTTCAAACCAAGTTTTTATCATGTTAACTTCATTATACGTTTATTTTATTTTATTTTATTTTATTTTTATTCTTTTGAAGAAAAAAAAAAAAGTATTATTAAATGTACTTAATAATGTTAGGGCACTTACATAATATTTTGGTGGGGCGAGAAGGGGGATCAAAAAAAAAAAAAAATTAGATATTATAATATATTATAATTGGAAAGGAGTCATCGTACATCACAAGCTTTATATTATCATAAAAACTGGTTTGACGTAACTTTAATGTTAATCAATTTTTAATTAAAAACTAAGTATTTTAAACCAGAGACTCGGAATTTATTTTTGGGATACTTTTCGTTATTAGAATTTCATGGAATTCTCCGAATTTTATGGAATTCTCCGAATTTCATGGAATTTTCCGTTGTAAACTTTAATTTATCGTTATAATTAAAAATCCATAAATTACATTAGTGCTTGGATCCGGTTTGCTCCAAGCACTAGGTTACATAATTGTTGATTAATGTAAACTAACGTGATAGCTTGTGATATACTTTGTGAAGACGATCATTAAAAAAACGTGTTGATATGGTTATTGTGTTACAAATACATCTGAAAAAAAACAACAAAAATTTCAGGGTACTATTAAAAAAATTTTGTATTGATGATTTTACCGATTTAGCATGCAATAATTTTAATGAAATCATATGTTGTAGACAATAGAATTCTGTGAATATTATGAAACGAAAAAAAATTGTGGAGAAAGAAATTTTTAAGTATTGTTCACATGGCATAAGGTTATGCAAGCTAAACATTGTTATACTAAATTGAAAATTTAAATTGGTTCTAAATCTGGCAAGTTTAAACCAAAAATCAAGATAAATATCTCGAGATTTTAAACTTGTTAAATATGACACTGAAATGGAATGTTCAAGTGTTTTCCAATATGGCAAATGTTTTGAGTGCGGGAACACTAATAGCGGTTCTAATTGGTGTTATATATGCCAAAGAGATTCTCTTCAACATAATTTTCACAAATGGACTAGTGGTGACATCAAGATTGATTTAATTATTCAACAAACTCAACTCGATGCAAAAGTATGCGTAGATTACCTTGAATGGATTCCATTCGATGATTTTGATTTTACCAAATATCATGCAAGAGGTGCGTTCAGTGTCGTATACTTTGGTATTTGGATTGACGGGCCTAGATATATCCTGGATGACGATTCCCAGGATTGGATCAGATCTGGGCCGACAAAATGTGCTTTGAAAAGAATCGAAAATTCTCAATCAATGTCACAAGAATATTTAGAAAATGTAAATATATATATATATTTTTTTTTTCGAATTTATCCTAAGTAAAGCCATATAAAGTTAATTACAGCTGTTCTCAAATCCTGGAACAACTGATACAATACCCATGGGTACTATTCAGGTACTTATGCGGTGCTAAACGGTAATAAGTTATCAGGCAAGCACTGCTTGATAAGCCGATAAAAAAAAACTTGCCGAAATCGGCATCAATTATCCAGAATTTGAGAACGGTTTTCATAACCCGGCCGGCTTTTTGTTTAAATTTTATATATAAATTTTATACAAAAACCTACCCGGTTATTACAGCTGGTTCATAACTTTTGGGACATCTGATAAAAAATAATTATGATCTGCCGAATCAAAAATCGGTATATAATTATTGGTCAATATTTTTTATCACGGGACATAGTAAATCATATGATCAAAATTTGATTTTCAGTAGAAAAGGAGTAAAAAGTTTCTAAGTAAAAGCTTTTCAAACTTTAAATTAAAATATCTTAACAACTACTAAATTAAATTTAATAAATTTTTTTTTATTTTAATTCTATATTTAAATAGAATTAAAATAAAAAAAAATTTATTAAATTTAGTTTAGTAGTTGTTAAGATATTTTAATTTAAAGTTTGAAAAGCTTTTACTTAGAAACTTTTTACTCCTTTTCTACTGACGAGCTCCCAGCTATAAAACATATTAAAAAAATTTTTTGAATTCATTAATTTTATATGGCCTAATTAACTCTGTATAACTTATTTAATATTTTCACTTAATCTTATTATTATAATTTATTTTTATTTAGATTAAAAATTATCATAAATGTTTTAGAAGTGCGTCTGCTGTTGTTGATTGTTTTGGTATTACACGTGATCCTACTGGTCATTACATGTTCGTTACAAGGTTTTATGAGTCTGGAAATTTGCACCAATATCTCGCAAAAACCATGGGATGTTTGTGTTGGCGAGATGTTCTCGATATGCTTTGGGGAATAGTTTCCGGTGGTCTTGAACCTATTCATGAACAAGGTTTTTTTCATGGAAATTTGCATAGTGGTAATTTATTAGTTGAAGAACAACCTGAAGCAATAAATGTTAAAATTGCTGACATTGGATTAAATATTCCCGCTAATGGTTCAACCTCTGGTATTTATGGTGTTTTACCTTATATTGCTCCTGAAATATTACAAGGTAAAAAATATACACAAGCATGCGACATATATAGTTTTGGAATTATCATGTGGACTATGTCCTCTTTTATCCCTCCTTTTTGTCAAATTCCACATGACCTTGATCTTGCAACTCGTATATGTAATTCTTTAAGACCAGAAATTATCGATGGTACTCCTGAGGTTTATGTAACATTAATGAAGAGATGCTGGGATCAAGATCCTAATAAACGTCCTAAAGCTTCCGAATTAAATATAATTTTTTCTAATTGGATAACTGCTATTAGTGATGATCCTGGTAATTTATATTTCTTTTAAGAATATTCATTCATTATTTTTAAAACAAAAAAAAAAAAAAACTAATGATTTTTCTAAATTTATAAAGAACCATCACCAACTTCGGAACAATTTGATATTGCCGAAGAAAAAAGATTTGTTGATTTAATAAATAAAACTTTTCCCAAACCAAACATCCATAATCAAGCCATATATATCAGCCGATTATTAGATTATAAATCTCTCTGTGAGAGTACACAACAAGAATAATTATGCCTCTACGTTAATTTTGAATAAATTTAAGGATATAAATATAAAAGATTATGATATAGTAACAACGAAAATACGGCACTCACGGCACTCACGATATACGGCGGTCCGAATTACATTAATACCGCTTGGAGTACTAGTGGGCCGAAAAACCCGAAGGATGAGGAAATCCGATTCGGCAATTAAAAAAAAAATTAAAAAAAAATTTAGCATACAATTTAAAAAAAAAAAAAAAAAACACACACACCCACACACACACACAAACTATAGATTATATTATTAATCATTCTTTTTTCTCATATCTGATATCAACGTGAAACAATTATAATCCATGATATCGGTATGAATTAATATGTATAATATGTATATATGTTATTAATGTTATAAAATAATAAGCCTTGTAAGATATGTTAGCTCCTTAATTTAGAATAAAGTTAAAGTTGACTTCTTTTTAATATGATTAAATTAATTCGTGATTTTTAAAGTCTGTTTGTATGAAGAAATTCATTACATATCGATATGAATCGTAATTATTTTTTTAATTTGTATAATCGACTATGTAAGGCTGATGTGATGACCCACCTAGCACCGTCATCTAATTAACGTTAAAAAATGAAAATATGACGATTTTAGAAATATAATAAAAAAGGAAATGATTTACAAAAAAAAATTCTTTGAAAGGCAAAGTGATGCGCGCGTGGATCTTGAAATAAATATAGATATTTTCAAATGATCAACGAATTAAAAACAAATGACGCTAACGGACTAACCCTCTTAGGAAGATGAATGCGTCAAAGGTTTGATTTCCAAATTTATTGCAATTATAGTTGCTTGACGAAACTATGTGTATACATGTGTGCCTAAATTGCCCATATTAATAAAAAAATAATTACGGCATTTAGGCAGCCGAGAATTAGTCTTATATAGTGTCGAAATTAATTTTCATATATACTGAAATTATTGCCGAAATTTTTTGAACTCTTTTCATCAAAATACATAATATAATATAGTTATTTCGGAGGGTTTCGTATAAAAAAGTTTAGCAATGCCGAAATGTTTGCCGAAAATACTTTTTCTCAAAAATAATTTAGGCACACATGTATAACTATGTGATGCTAATCATCACATAGCCACGAATAGTAACATGTGAATTCACATGTTAATTGCACTAATATTATTA